TTTCAGTCCGCGCTGCAAGATTTATTTTTCAGAGCTCACAGGAAAAGGATATCAGTGCTAGGATTGTTCAATTCCATCAGAACACCTTCATTTTAACAGAAATCACGGTGCCTGTTAATCCACAGGCTAAAACTTAAGTAAGCGGAGACTAATGTCTCTTTACTGGTTTAATTAACAACGATTACTTGTCTAAAGATAAGGTATTTCCAGTTAAAAGCCATCTCCTTAAACTGCAGATCAGCTGAGAATAGTTCAAATTAGTTTTAGGGTAAGGTCAAAGACCAGAATTTTAGGGGTTTGAAGTTTTTTTTACTGAGCAGATCAACACATATCTGCCAGGGGAGAATCCACATCTAAGTGAAAAGAGGGAGGCTGGGACTTCCACCTGCATGAAAGTGGATTGTTTGGGGGCTTTAAACAAACGACTTAATGAGGTGCCACTGACGCACACATCTGTCCTTTCTGGGATATCTAAAGTCTGATCAACCAATGCGTAGTCCATTTTAATATCACTAACAGAGGCATGAAACTGGAATAAACCAAAATGAAGCCTTGTATAGTGCTTTACAGGCTCTGCAGTGATTTTAGTGTATTACAGATCACTAAAACCAGGAAAAGCAGTAACATTTAGAAAACAAGCGGAAATGTGTAGGAAAAGGAAAAAAGGACTGGGAAAAACTGAAAGTGCTTTTGTGGTACTCTGAGCAGAGTTTTGGTGCAAATTTTCTCATAGGCAGCCACCTTGTCCAACGACAGAGCCTGATGCTAGTAGTACTGATCAGAAGGGACTGTCTTGGTCAGTGTTTTGAAAATCTCCATTGAGCAGCACTGTTGGGATAAGGGCTCATTTTGAAAATGTGCAAAACTACTTTGATTTGAATTTTCTTTGTTGCAAACACAGGCCAGCTCCTGGGACATCCCTCCATCTCCAGGTGATGGCAAGCATGAGAAGACCGCAGGCACTGTTCATCAGCATGAGCTGTCAGAAGGCTTCCAGGAGGGTAACACGCTCTCGCTCATCCACTGGGCGGCTCAGTTACATGTGGCCAGAGAGGATTTGTCAGGATGGTGAATCCATAGCTCTTGACTTCAGGTGTGACAAGAAACTCCCACCCTTCCTAAAGGTTTGCAGGTACTAAATTCTGTGGATGCATTTGCAACCCTTGTTGCATGTAGGGCAGGGAGATGGGAGGCTAGTTATGCCTGAAACGCTACCTGGCCTTCTCACCTGGCTTTGGTGTTGGTCTCTAGGCCGAGGGTTCACTAAGATTTGCACCTCCTACAACAGATGTCTACAGAGAAGTTTCCTCCAGAGATGATCTGGAAACCCAGAGCAAAGCTCCTGTTGACGTGAATACCTATGAACGAAGCAAAGCACAGATGAGGGCCGTGGCACTTCCACCCTGAGCTTGTGCTGGATCTGGTTCATTGGCTCACTGAGATCCCAAAGCAATGGCTGATGGCTCACCTGACCTTTTCATGGGGACTTGGGTGCTGAGCTTTGGATTTGGGTAAAATTGCTTTTAAGGTTTGGTGCTGGATCATTTTGTGGATTTATGTGCTCTGCTCTTCTGCTGACCCCAAGGGTGGCTGTACTTCATGGACCAGGTGCATGTGGCACCTTTTGAGAGTTGAGGACCTAAGGGTTGTAGGCCTGTGCATTTGTACCCTCTTTCCTGATCATATTATTTGCACCCTGAAATCTACCAAAAATGGCACTGCAGAAGTTTCTTAGCCTTTTGTCTACCTCTGGTTAGAAAACTACAAGTTTTTACGTCCTCTCCCTTCTCTTTGTATTAGGCAAAGCCATAGGCAAATAGTTATGAGTAAAAGGGGCAGGATATAATTCTATGGCCACTTCTTCCCCTCTGCCCCCACTGTTGGCCTGCTCTCTGAAGTGATTTGAAATTGAATTTGCTCCCCAAATGCAAACTGTACGGTTCATAACCAGGGATGCTGCAGATTCGATGATCACTTTTTTGTGCACAGCTCTGAGCTCGCAGTAAATGTGGGTATGGGGGAACTCAACGTGTGTGTATGGCGAAAGGAAAGAAACCTCATTCTGCACCTAAAACATTAGCCAACAACCTCTCGAGGGTCAGCTGAACTCAGATATTCTTTTTCCCTTCTTGTTTAAAGCTTGACATTACCATCCTCTGATACCGTTAAGTGAAAGCTCAGCACTAGGCAGTAAAGCGGCCGCTGAATATTCTAACAAGTGGCTTGTTAGTGAGGAATGTCCTGGCGGTGAGTATGGATCAGCCTTGTCACTTCTCAGCCAATCCTCTGAGGAAAATAAGTAAGGAGGACAAAATGAGTGCAGCCCTCCTGGGCCTCCCCTTAAGAGTTTAAAAGCAAAATATTGATTTTGAGTTACCCTGCTTCAACTCAGCTTCACTCTCCTGATATTTTTATTCCCTTGTAGATTTCTGACTCCATTTGTTTTTTAAAGAAATCACTGGTGAAATTGTGGTGTGTCCATGTAACATTCCTGCGCCTAAAAATATGGTCAATTGACACCTTGAAGGTTTCCAGGCAACTCTAACCATTTGTGACATCTTTAGCTGCATCCCCAGTATGTTCAAAACAGATGAAGTGAATGAATTGATTTTTAGCTGTATAAAAACCCTTGACAAAAATCTCTTTGTGGCCATCCAGTTAGTCTCTTGATGATTTGTGGAGTATTTGCTCATGCCATGAATTTGATCCTTCCCACCTCTCCGTTTGTTTTTCAGCTAGCTCTACCGTGGGTTCCCCACTCCTGAATGCATAGCAGTCACTTTTCCCAGGCCTAGAGCAAGAGTTAGAGTAAAAGCTATACCTACAGCCATGGCATCATTAGACCAGACTCGAAACATTATGTAAGTTGTAATGTACCCTCTAAACTTCGTATGAACAGCAATTAATGGTAACAAAACTAAAAGAAGTATCTTTGTTAGGTGTCTGAAATCATTGTAACACACATTTTGCCCCATAAAACCAGTGGTCTCTCAGAATCCAGTCCAAAACCCTAGTGAAGTCAATGTGACTCTTCTGCCGGCTTAAAGTGATAGTGGATAGGCTAAAACAGCAAAACCTTTCCCTTTGTCTCCAGAAAACATTTGAACATTTGCATGTAATGAAACATGCAGTAAGCCAGGAATAAATTAAATACAGAATCTCAACTCCTTCAATCAAATGATCTGCTAAACTGACATTCGTGTGTGCGGTCCAAAGGAAATTCTTTTAAAGACATCTGGTCTTTTCACTGTACCCTGTTCTGGCTCAAGTTCCATTATATTAACAAACATGTAGATAAAGTGTTGATGGGCTTGATTGTTTTGTTTGTTTAAGGCTTGTCCAAGCACAGAGCACAGTGACACCAAATGATAAGTAATAATTTCAGTGCTCAACATTTGGTATCTCGGTATCCCTTGACATAAATGGAAGACTTCAGAGACAGGATCCGATTGGATATGCTGTTCACAGGGCTGGAGTGCTGACCACAATAATAATACATACATACTTCAAGAAGTCTAAGATACTGTTGATTAATTAAAGACTTATCTGAATTCAAGAAAATCAGCAAACGTCTCTGCTAGTTGTAAGAGTCTGCAGAGGAGCATGAGCAGGCAAGGAGGGTCAGGCTATTGCACTGTAACTTGAATTATGCACGTGCCTGGTGCCCTTGGTTGGCTAGGCTGGCAATAACCACATAACGCCTTTTATCTGGCTCCTCTGCAACAGAAATCTTAGGATTTCTTTAGTAACTCCAGCATCGAGCTCAGCATTTCTGGCTGAGAAAGCGTGTTTTTTAAAAGCAAACATGCAAATCTAAATCAAAATCATCTGAACGTAAAGCGACAAAGAGTCAAATAAACTGATCTCCTAATGTTAAAAAAAGAGCAACAACAACAACAAAAAAGCCTCTTCTTTACAATATCTTTTTATTAGAAGAAGTTGGATGATACAACTGAGGTGACATCTGCCATCAACAGGAAGATGTCCTGTTCCCTTCCCTTCATCTTTTTCCTTCCCCACGTTCCCAGCCTGCTCCTCAGACCCTTCTGTGATTCAGCTCAGCAGAAAATTAACCCAGAGAAAATCATGAATGATTCTCTGTCAGCTCAGTGAATTAAAATGGTTTGGTGAAGGGCCATGTGAACACTAATACCAGTTGACAGTTCAAGGCACAAAGGAGGACCATAAGCCAAAGCCAGAGCGTGGGAGAAGCAGGAGATGGGAGGAACGGGGTTCGCCGCTGGTGGCAAAAACTGATCAGCCGTCAGGTCCTTTGGGGACTTCATTTTTTTCAGAAAAAAAGCAAACACAAAAGCTAGGTAACCCCAAACCATTCATATTTTCTTTGTAAAAAGAAGCATGAAGACAGTTTTGATTTGGCATAGTAACTGTAAGGGCAGTTTACGTCAGTGATATTAAAATCATTTCTTTCCCATGCACAAACAAATCAGTCATATATCTGTATCTAGAACAAAATCTGAAGCAAGAAAATAGTTTGCAGGACTGATTCTTCAGGAGTTAACTATTGTAAAACCATGCTGCCCAATTGCAAATTACTCTAGCAGTAGAGGAGGGTAAAGAATCAGCCCTATCAAGTCCCATGTTATGTAAAAACAGTGTACAGAAAAGCAAGGTATATACAAATATGACTTCTCTCTAAAGCTCCTTCTTCTCTTATATCTTTTGACTATTGTGATCAGAACAAGGCTGCTAGCATAATGTATAGTAACACACTGGAACGTATATATCTATATGTAACAATGCCAGCGTGAAGAAGCTACCTCCTCACCCACTGCATGTGGTGACCATATTACCGTTTCCTAATTGCACGCAAGTGTGTGAGACACGGCTGTGTGCATACTGCAGGTGCAAAGCTGCTTCTGAAACCTCACACGGGGTGAGAGCTGCCAGTGGGCTCGCGCTGCTCACAGCAATGCCGTGGCATCCTCGCTCGCGCGCGCACACTAGGTCACTGCGTATGGAGGTAGGCCACTTGCACGATGCTGGCGGTTGAGCACCCGGCCAGTGAGGGCCAGCTGAAGGAGGCTTTCCAGGTGTGTCAGGAGTGAGAGGGACGATGGCAGACCATGGATTCAGCATCTAATTTATTCTGCATTGCAGACGCGAGAGCGGATCCCCACTGCTGTGATGGCACTGGTTCGTATCAGAGAGGATCTGGCATCAGCTCTGGTCAGGAAGGCACTTTAGTTGAGAGCACAATGTTGCACTGCAGTGCCAAAGCAAAGTGTGCAGAGCTGCTCAGGTCAGGGACAGAGGAACGGGGAGTCCTCCAAGGCTGGAGGGCCCGTCCACATCAACGGGAGCTTCGCCTCCGGGGCAAGGGGTGCTGCATCTGCCCTGGCTTTCTGGCTGCTCTCTTGCTCTTTCGTGTGTGTGGCTTCCTGTGGAGCTGCTCTTGACCGTGCTCGCTGGGAGCCTTCACACCAGCCAGCACACAGAAAATAGTCATCTGATTGGGCTTGGCTTTTGCAATACAAGCTTGTTTTCAAAAACTGTGATCATGTCAGCAAACACAAGCCGTCACGTCCCCCCCACCCTCCTGCCGAAATGACAGCGTGCCCCATGCTGACCGCCATGCCCAAGAGTGACGTTTGCTCCTCCTCACTACACACGTGTGCTCAGAGCCAGGCCGAGGAGCCCCAGCTCTCCGCGTAGCCTTGTGTGCAGAGGCCTGAGGAGCCATCCCAAAGCTGTGGCCAGCTGAAGTCGAGGAGAAACAATGCCAGCTTAATGCTGCAGGGCTTGTTCAGTTTTGGGAATGGGCATTCAAGGCTGGAGGGCTGCTGCGGGGGCGGGGGGGATTTGCTTTCAAGCTGATCCAACTTACTTCTGAGGCGTTTCTCTCTCCGAGCAAACCAAAGGGAGCCGAGGCAGGCTGGCTGCTTCCTGCCCCTTGCGCTGGCACCAGAGTGAGTGGGGGAGAAGGACGGGAAAGGGGGAGCAGGAGCCCCTAAGACGCTTCCTCCCCGCTCGCCTGCACAGAGGAGCCGCTCCAAGGCATCGAGGCGAGGGTGAGGAGGAGGCCGAAGACCAGCTGTTTCGGTTTGTTGGTGGATTTCTGGCAGGAAATCTGTTTGGGAATTGCGGAGCAGAGTTTTCTCTCTAACGCCTACCCTGCTGCGGGGGAAGGATGAGTGGGGAAGCTGCGAAAAATGCAGGGGAAGAAGAAAAGGGCTGGTTCTACCTACCGATGCTTTTGGTTTTGAGAGCTTGACAGCCAGAGCGTTTCTATAACTGACGCGAGTATGTGCATGCCACAACCAGATAACACATTTTTACACAGGTTGAACTCTCTCTACCCGGTGTGAAGTGGGGGGAAGTTGGAGGTGCTGGCTTTCACAAAAAAAGTATTTCTCCACAGTGGTGCGGGCCAGTCCCCGGGTGATGCTTTCCTCTGACTCAGTTACAGACACAGTGGGTGTCCTCGGAGATTTCTTCCTCTTCTTCTTCTTCTTTTTTTTTCTCCTCTCTCAGCCATGAGTCAACCATGCCTTCGTACCCTCCCCTGCCCTCCTGCCTAACGGGGGGAGATCTGGGTGATGAGCCACTGTGAGCAGCCACAGCGCTTCCTCCGCACGGGACGGGACAGGGCGCCCAAGGGGCAGGAGATAAAGCAGGCGACTTACCGAGGTGCACGGTTGCACAGGGAGCTTGTGGGGAAAAAAAAAAGGTGCAAAAGTAGATTTAGGATGCCATGCCTATGCTAAAAATAAGGATTTAATGAAATTATAGCGATTTATCAGCTAACCTGCCCTGCCTACGAAGATACCAATCTCTCCTCAGGCTATGAAATCTGTATGTGAAAAAGAGTTGACTAAGTAATTTCAGAGCTGGCTGTGGTTTCCCCAGC